AGACAGATAAACAGATACATAAATGCATAGATACATAAGACAGATAAACAGATACATAAATGCATAGATACATAAATAGATAAGTAAATAGATGGGTAGGTAGGTAGGTAGGTAGGTAGGTAGGTAGGTAGGTAGGTAGGTAGGTAGGTGGGTAGGTAGGTAGGTAGGCAGGCAGGCATAGACAGATAGATAGCTAAAAAATAGGTAGATAGATAGATAGATAGGTAGATAGAGAGATCGATCGATGGATAGATAGATGGATAGATGGATAGATGGATAGGAATATAGAGAGATCGATCGAGGGATGGATGGATAGATCGATAGATACATAGATTGATAGCGCGAGAGATCGGGAGATAGACACATGCATTCATAAATACTTAAATTCATAAACGATCATGTATACATCGTCTTTCTCAGTTGCATCATGTATACTTGTAGGGTTCTGCAGCTCGGTAGGCGGATGCTTAGGCTCACAGAGAACTTTATACACTTTGTGTCAACCCTGTTTTGCAGTCACTTGTTTAGGTGTATTGCATGTTGGGAAACTGTTCGTTCATAATCAAGGACTTTGTCGTCATCGTCGTTCATCCTCATCCAGTGGAACGCAGACACAGCCTGGACGCAAGCGTCCAACATTCGTTCAACTCTAGAAGGTACAGACAAATATGCATCAACCTAGAACTCAGTCATGCCAACCCAGAGCACACTGAAACTCTTCGAGCAATTGTCCCCAAAAAACTAACTCCACGCCACAAAGCCTTGTACTCGAACGTGGCGCAAGGATCGCGCAAGGGAGCCTCGTGATTGAACTGAAGCTCACAAATCTCAAAAGACGGACATCCGACACTTCCTAGTTAGCGTCTCGATGCTTCCGAATGTACAAAGGTGGTGAAGTCATTATGGCGAGAATTACTTAAGATGTGAGGACAAAAAGGTGCGCTAGGCTACGAAGTGAGCAGCAGCAGCCGTCAGGCCATAGGACGCTACGGGTTCCTGTCCTTTTCAGACGATGGTTCATGCAATGTTCGCGGAAGTTTTGAACTTTCATCATTGGCCGGGCTGTGTTTCAGTTCGGTGATGACGAGGCATTCTAAGATCATACATCGTGATCATCCTATGAAATTCCATAATGAGACCCACAGCAACCATCACGTTGATCTGGATCCCAAAGCTTTCCCACCCGAAGGCCTCCCAAGCCACCACGCTGGGACCGCGTGGGATGCGCGCGGGATCAAACCTTGGGCGACTCTTCCGGCAAAGGGCTTACTACTAATAACTAGGCATTTGTTGACGCTCACTCCCGGACTGTGCGCAAGGTCTGAGGGCATCAGGGCTTGAGAGGTCCGTTTCCTCACAGATCCGGTTTTCGAAAATGAGGTTGAAGGATCATGTTTTTCCTTCGTAGTTGGATTTAGCTTGAGGGCTCGGCAATGACAGTGGTCTTTCTGGATGCTACACGGTCCGAAGCATCGACCCTGAAAGTCCATTGCTGCCCCGAGGCTGGCCAGGTGCCGAATTGTTCAAGAAGTTTCGGTACTCCACCTCGCTGTTAGGGTAACGGATGGGCTCCTCCACCTTCAGCATGGCCTTGTCTCCCACGCAGAGCATGCCTGCTCGGAGGCTGTCCTGTGCAGTGTGGAGCCGCGCATAGTCCCGGTCCCGAAGCGCAATGTCCATGACCACCAGGGCTGGTGTCTCAACTGGACTCAGCTCATCCTTTGCGACGCCATAGTACGTGGGGGGTGCCGTTGCCCCGGCGAAGGGAACTCCTGCAGCCTGCCTTGAGAAGTCCAGGCTCATGCCGTCGACAAACCTCGGCGGAAGGCTTCTCTCCAATGTCTTAAAGGAATGCTTTGCAGGGCTTACAGTTTACACAAACGTTAGAGGTTTCTACTAAGAACGAGAAACAGATCCGCGTGGTAGACCACTTCTGATGTCGGGGTGTACGGGGCCGATCTTCCATTCCTCGAAAGGAGCTCATTGAAGTTCACCGCCTGGACCTCGTTCACGAGCGTGCGCATGACCTGCACCCGCACCTTGATCGTCTCAGCGCTGCTCCAACACCCTGGGGGCAGAGGCACAAAGATTGTAGTGCCCTTGAAATCGATCTTGGAAGTGTCCAAAGGGATGATAGCTTTCCAGGTCTTTTTGGGCCGGCACAATGCCTTTGTAGCTGCTCGGACGCCATTACACCTGGCCTCCACATGGTACTTGTAGAGCCTAGTCTCCTCTGGCACATCATCTGTGGGGAAAACAATCTCTCGAACGTTCACCTCAACCATGTTTGCCACACCCATGCTCCTCTGGCTGGGGTCCACCCAGGCAGACTTGTTTGAGGTGAAGAGGCAGGAGCTGGACCCGCGTCCTTGCAGCTCTGGTGAAACTGGCGTCTTCGTAAGCAGGGAGTTCGGGCTTAGCTTGGCAAAAATGTCCAAGTCCACATGGGCCTTGAGGGGCAAGATGTCAGAGAGGTTCACGGTAGGGTGCTGGAGCCACATCCTCCGAGTACTTTTCAGGGTTCCACTCCTGAGAGACCTGGTCATACTCTGGATTTGCTCCTGTGCTTCCTCCATGAGACCCAGGGTCGTGAGAGCCCCCTCTCCGATGCCCAGCGTTGTCAGGGCCGTAGCCGTGGGTGGCGGTTCCATGGGTTTCGGGAGATCTTCTTCTGCGGCGAAAAGCTTCCAGAGGGGCATCTTTGCCGCCCAGATGGTGCGGTTGTTCTCCGGATTCTCGGGATCGCATTCCACCACATCAATGCCGACCTCCGAGGTGTCCAGGAAGGCCAGGCCACCGTCACCTGGTGGTATGGGCACCTCCGCGATGAACTTCCCCGAATATGGGCCCTGATATCTGGGATTGCTTCCAGTGGCCTTCGTGCTCCGGAAGCGCCGGCCCAGCATCGTCAAGTCCACGTAGGTCTGGAAGTTCGACCTGGGCAAGGAGTCGACCTCCTCGTCGCCGAAGACTTCAACCTGGCCCTCTTCTGGGAGCTCTTTCCTCAAGTCCAAGACATCGGCGGAACGGAAGCCAAGCTCCAATCGGAACCACTGCAAAGCCTCGCCGTCGGCCAAAGCCGCTCCCAGGCCATTGCCATCGCCGGAGCCCACCACTTGCTGGAACGGCTTCTGTGTCTCTGGGTCTGTGAAGGTCCGGAGTGCGCGACCCCAGCCGACTCTGGGCCCATGCACCGTGAACCAAACTCCTGTGCAGCTGGAGGGAGGCAATAGATCGCCCTGACGACTCTTGGCCAAAGTCCGCTCAGAATGCAAGACAATCGAACTGATCTGGCTCAGGTTCACGAAATGCCCCCAGCTAGCGTGGTCCAGGACTGAGGCATCGGCGCCTGCCTCCGAGAACGACAACATGGTGAAATTCTCGGAGATATGGAATGCCATCTTCTGCAAGTTCACATTCACTTCGGAGTACGTCGCAGACTTCGAATAATCGTCCAAGGCCTCCATGCCTTCTACGGGCAAAGTCAACTTCAGGACCTCCTGCGCAGTGAGTGACGTAAAGGATCCCATCATTGTCACTCCTTTCATCATCTGCTGCACACGTGTGTTCACATTGGTGCCCAAGGCATAGGAGCGGTCAAAGATGTGGTCTTGGCGGAAGTGCCGGAACCGCGTCTGCACCTCGAGGGCCGAGTGCCCAAACGTCAAAAACTGATCGTAAAAAATCGCGAACAACTCGCAGGTGCGTCTGACACACCACATCCCGGGACCCTCTACGCTGCACCACGTGCCACCTAGCGCGTGCCTTGTTGATTGCAGCCAGACGCACCATGGCGGGGGAGCGAGCGGCCTGTTGGTTGATCCTGTCCATCTTGTCCCTCAAGAACCTGAGAAGCTGCAACTGGCTTGGGTTTCTGCCACCATCTTACACGCACGGGCCGGACGGGCACTGGAGTTTCCAGACAACTGGGACTCCCAAAGTTGGAGCCCTGCGATCAGGGGTCTCGATCGAGAACTCAAGATTCTGATTCTCGATTTGGATTCCCTCAAGCCGTATGGAGCTTTCAACCGGGCGATGGAGGCCCGCAAGTTTAAAAGGCTCCCAACAACTGAAACCGAAGACCCGTTATTCCTTTGGAGAATCCTTGAAAAGCATCAAGCCGAAGCCTTGCTTTCGAGGTCACAGGGCCTGGCGGCCCAGTCCTGCTGTTCCTTCCGCAGCTTCTGATCGTGGCTCTTCCTCGTATGTTCGAGAGGACTCATGGTTGACAAATCAAATAGTCTTCGTTGTCATCAGCGGTGGTGTTCTGTTGCAATCATCTGACTGACATGCGTCGCCATGCCCGACAAGATTGCGAAGATCATCAGCTATGGTCGTTGGTATTGCACTCCTGGACTCCTCCGCCTCCTCCCCCTTCTTCCTCCACCTGGAACCATGCTGCTTCGCTCACACCTCCGCAGTCTCCTTCCTTCCTCGCTTCCTCTCCCCTCCCTCGCTCTCCCTCTCTCCCTCTCTGCCTTTGTCCCTCTCTACCGCCTCTCTCTCTCTTGCTTGCTTGCTGTGAAAGTGCCTCTCTCTCTCTCTCTCTCCAAACCATAGGGACCGGTCAAGGCTCTCTCTCTCTCTCTCTCTCTCTCGGGCATAGGGACGTGTCACCATCCCCGGGTAAAATGCCCACCCGAACGTTTTGATCGGGCTGTGCGGGGAGTGAGGAGCGAACATTAATCCCCCAAACGCTAAGGCAATTGTATTTTTTTAGTAAGGTAACAAACAAGGGGTGATTGAATGTCTCTCTCTCTGTCTCTCTGTCTCTCATTTTTTAATTTTCTCTCTCTCTCTCTCTCTCTCGCTTTGTCTCTCTCTCTCGCTATCTCTCCGTCTCTCTCTGTCTCCCGCTGTCTCCCTCTGTCTCGCTCTCTCTCTCTCTCTCTCTCTCTTTTTCTCTTTCTCTTTCTCTCTCGCTCTCTCTCTCTCTCTGTCTCTCTCTCTCTCTCTCTCTTTCTCTCTCCCTCTCTCTCTCTCACACACACCC